AATTTGATGACGTGTAGTGCACTGGAAGGCCAGCTTTTGTAAATTTCCGCATATTTATAGTCTGTTTATGTATTAATTGCTTGACCTTATTATTAACCATGACCACTTCCGCTCACTAATTTGTTTGTTTACATCTGGAAAACCACCGCCGTATTTGGCCCTCAATTCTCACGGTAAACTTTCAACGTGACAAGGCGATTGTCGGAAACATTTTGTCTTCTACCCTTCTTGTAAAAGTTAAACTCAAAGCGAAGAGAGCGGCAGTAAAACTACCGTACAAGTAAACAGGCAAGTAAAATTACAGTAAGTCTCGCGGTTCATAATTCCGGTCTATGATTATTGGCTATTTTTAAACAGATTTAAAAATCACTTGTTCTAAAAAATTACGCATAAACTTGCGCATTTATTATAAGTAATAGATATAAAATGTATATCTAATAATTGTTTGTGCTGCTAACTTGTAATTTTTACCTTTTTACCATGGTGTTATAGTTCGTGATGTCGGCGGCACGTTGCATTCAATAACTATCAGGTTGCCTTGTGTCTTACGCGAAAATGTTGCGCAGTTTAATTTTCCCAAGGATTTTATTGCATAAGGAGTAAGAACAAAGGTTGCACTTTCGCCAGGTAAAAGTCTTAAGAAACAATGCCATGTACCAGTGGATGATATTTACGTTCAAACTTCATTAATTTTCTGTTGATTGAAAATTAACCTAAATTTACATGTCTGTGAAACTTTAAGGAATACATGAAATTCCACCAAAATGTAATTTCCTGAGGGGAAATTAATCCTATTTCCTGCTCACGTTTTCAAAATTTTACAACACGAAGTGTTCAAAAAATTTGGGCCCTCTATAGCACTCTAACAAAAATGGCCGACGCGACATGGAGAACGTGGAAGACCAAGAAATTTTCGTCAATCAGCCGGAATATTCATTCGATTGAGCTGAAACTTTGACAGAACTAATATTTCATCTTGATCGTTATTCTGTGAAATTTTGAGTCAATTCGATTTTCGCCGTATGAAACTCGATATTTGATATTTACAGGGAGCCGCTCTTAATGATCATGGGTTAATTTAAAATAAAGTGATATACAGCCAATTCAAAAAAGGTTGTCCTTTGCAAACTCTAAACTCTAAGCGCGAAAAGCTTAACGGGAGCACAAGTTCAAGCCTATAGTATATGCCCCATATATGATTTTTAAACTGATCGAATGATTCTTCCATTATGCTTTCTACGCTTAAAGTTTAAGGTTTGGAGTTTAAGGTTTGCAAAGGACAACCTTTATTTGTTGATTTAGCTGTATACAGGTCAATGACTACCCATTGATTAAACCGGAATTTTTTTCGCGACGTCTACGATTATTTCCCGCTTTTCGACGGTTTGTTGATAATTAGATTTATGTGATTTTGTACAAAAAATACTTAGATTTACTGATTATGTCACGTTCAATATTGATTGCTAATTTACTATAACACATAACCTATATAATTGCTGTCCTCCACTGTAAAGGGTTGTAGTAAAGCAACTTGTATGCGAACAGTTTACAGTATAGGCAAAACATTCACTTAACAATAATTTTAGGTATGGCGTTTAAGTGTTAATCTAGGGTCAAATTACACAATTGGTTTAATAATTATAATTATCTCCTTTGCATCACAAACCAGTTCTATCGATCCTGCGAGATCGATGGCGAGAAATTTCATATCTTCGGTTCTGCGCATGCTATGAAGACAGAAATACCACCATTCGATTCAGAAATAAAAGATTTAACTAACTCTTCCGTATAGT